CCCCCCCCCCCCCCCCCCCCCACGACCCCCACCACCACCACCAGAACCAGGCTTAGTTACTTTTAAATCTTTAAGTTAAAAAAAAAAAAAGGTCTGAAAGAGTACTTTTTTCACATCTGTGAAGCCTTGGTTCAAATTTGAGCATTACAAGCAAGAGTAAAAGTAACCAGTATGACAGTTCAGTGGCTCAAGAGCACATAAGCCCGATGGTGACCTAAGAGCCTATGCATGAAAACCAACTACCAGGGAAGAACCTCAGACCTTTTTTTCTTCACTGTAGCTGATGTGTGGGGGACCAAAATATTTCCGCTATGGAATATTTTGAGATCCAGCCTGGGGTTTCACTAAACATGGAGCACCAGAAAGCTCTGGCCCACTATTATATGTATTGTTAATACCAGTAAGGCTACTATTGTTTACCATAGCCTCAGGGTAATATGCTTCTTATTTGCATCTCTGTGGACCTAAGCATCTGGATAGGCCCTCACCTGGGCGGAGGTGAAAGGTGTGTGAGTAACTTGTGAGGATGGAAGGTTAAGAGTTAGGGGCGAGTGACCAGAAGAGAGAGGAGAACAAAGAGAGATGGTTCCCTCATGGTTATGGCAGGATGGAAGGTTAAGAAACACTAGAAAAGATGGCTAATAAAAAAATGACTCTAGTTCTACAACATGGAACTGAGAGCTCTCTGAAGATGACAAGATGCCTGTGTTTGTTCTTTATCGTCGATGGGTTGCTAGGAGCTACCAGGTCCACACACCCCCACTCAGGTAGAATCTCAGGGCTGTCGTGGGTTAAAGCTGAGACATGCCGGGTCACGACACTGATGTGCACCCATACACACACATTAAAGAAATAAAAATGGCAATGTATTAAAAACCCCATCATAATACACCTATTCACAGATACTTAACTACTAATTTTGCCTGCTGCTGACTGGAAGTCTTACTGACAACATTAACAGTCAATTAGTACATAAATATTCATTTATCATAAACAAGGAAAAATACACAAGAGGGAATTCACTAATTACTACTGTGTGCCACTGACACTGACTGGACAGATGAACTGCACACACAGTGACTTAGCATAATATGATGTTTTAAGTGGACACTCATGTGACCCCACTGCAATCAGAAGCCAGCTCCAAAGGTATCACAGAAAGACAGTGTAAAATACAATTAACTTTAAGATTCTAAGATGTTTTTGTTGATTTTATGTGTCATGCAGACTGGCCTCAAACTCAATACTGATAGCCTTCAACTTACCATCCTCCTGCTTCTACCTCAAGTGTCATCATGCCTTTTTCTTTCTTTTTTTTCTTTAAATACTCTAGGGCTTTTTGTTGTTGTTGTTGGTTTTTGTTTTGTTTTGTTTTGAGACAAAGTCTCAGTATATAGCCCCAGTTATTCTGGAACTTGCTGTAGACTAGCTGGCCTCAAATTTACATGGATCCATCTGCCTCTGTCTTTTGAGTGCTAAGATTAAAGGCATGTGCCACCAGCTTTCTTGTTTTTGAGGCAGGGCCTGATACTCACAATCCAACTGCTTAACTTTCCCACATACTGGGGTGATTTCTGTGTCCCAGCCCGCCTAGCCTAATTCCTTCATGACCTAAAACAGCATCTTCCCATTTGCTTATACTTCTCTTGGTTCAAACAGAGAGCTGGAGAGATGGCTCAGCAGATAAGAGTGGTACTATGGTACTCTTGCAGAGGATCATAGTTCAGTTCTTAGTACTCACATGGAAGCTCACAATCATCTCTAACTCCAGTTCCAGAGGATCTAACACCCTCTTCTGTCATCTGCAGGCACTAGGAACACACATAGTGCAGATACATCCATGGAAAACACTCATACACACAAAAATAAAACTTTTTAATAATTTTTTAAAAAGTTAAAAGTATCAATGGACCTGTGCAAGTAAAACCTATGTTGGTCAAAGGTCAATTATACTGAGGCCAAAATCAGACCTTGCACTTTGAGCAGCTCTCTCCTTCTCCTCCCCCTCTCCCTCTCCTGGTGCTATAGAGGCCTCACACACACACACAAGCTTAGTGCTCTAAGAGTGAGCTGTACCTCTAGCCCCAACAGTCCTGATTCTGATGAGCTTCTTTTCTTTATTTTAAATTTATTTTATGTGCACTGGTGTGAAGGTATCAGATCCTCTAGAACTGGAGTAACAGACAGTTGTAAGCTGCCATGTGGGTGCTGAGAATTGAACCTGGGTCCTCTGGAAGAGCAAATAGTGCTCTTCACCACTGAGCCATCTCTCCAGCCTCTCTGACTGTGTATGTCCAGGAAGTGGTGGTGCACACCTTTAATCTCAGCACTCGGGAGGTAGAGGCAGGCAGATCTCTGAGTTTGAGGACAGCCTGGTCTACAGAGTGACTTCCAGGACTGCCATGGATACACAGAGAAACCCTATCTCGAAAAACAGAGAGAGAGAGAGAGAGAGTGAGAGAGAGAGAGAGAGAGAGAGACTATATGATATGTGACAACCCAAACGAGTGAAGGTACACAGCAACCATTCCTTCTTGAAGTTCAAGTCTTGAGGAGAAACACTCACAGACATAAAACAGAACCCTGAATGCATCTCAGTTGCTGCCTAAAAGCTCTGAAAGGGAAGTAGCTGACACACACCTGAGAGTCCAATCTGATGTCCAAGGATGGTGGAGTACAGGTGTGTGACGTTTCGAGAGTACCCTCCAAAGGGCTTGAGAGGGTCCAGGGTCAAGGTAATGGCCACTGAGATATTGATGGGGCCTGATTCCTCCAGGGCCTGGGGTGGCTGGGTGGACGATCTGGCCTGCCCAATGGTCATGGTGCTCTCAGGGGTGGTGGTGTCATTGGAGAGATGCTTCAGTGTCTCATTTTCTGATACACACAAGTCCAAATCATTAAAGCGCAGCAGAAAAGTATTCCAGTCCTTCAGCAAAGTAAAACGGAGACAGATATGAGGCCCCAGCATCTCCAATGCAGGAACAGCAATGACCCTAACTGCTACCACAGGACAAGAGGAAAAGAATGACCTGAGAGTGACCGCCTCAAGTCATAATACACCACCATCCTGCACCTATAGAACAGTGTGATAAATCATATCAGCCCTGGAAATCTAAACTGCACACTCTGTACATTATCCAGCAGATTGTACTAAGAAAAAACCCAACTAGCCTCAAGATCAAACTGAAAAGGTATCTTGAGGGGTTGGAGAGATGGCTCAGTGGATAAGATTGCCCTGCCAGAGATTCCCAACACCCACTCAAAGGGCTCTTAGCACTCACTCTAACTCTAGTTCCAAGGGACCTAATGCCCTCTTTTGGCATTGCACACACATGGTGTAGACATAAATGTGGGCAAAGCATCCATACACATACAAGAAAAGTAAATAAAGGAAAAAGAAAAAAGGCTGTGAGGGCTGTTGCCATAACTCAGTGGTTAAGAACACTTGCTGCTGTGGCAGAGGAACCAAGTTTGGTTCCAAGCACCCACATGGTGGATCACAACACTGTGTAACTCCTGTGCCAGAGTACCTAATATCCTTTTGTTCTCCTTGGTCACATGGTACACATATTTGCAGGCAGGCCAACACTCATACACATAAACTAAAAGTAAATATTATAAAATAAGGTGGATCCCTGAGTTCCAGGACAACCTGGTCTACATAGCTAGTTCCAGAACAGGCAAGGATACACAGAGAAACAAACAAAAACAAAAACAAAAGGGAATCTTGAACAAAAGTGGTTGACACATTAAAATCACTAATTCACACCCATTTAATAGCTTATTTGTTTGGGGATTTCTTTGGTTGTTTAAGAATTTATGGCTGTTTGGTGGTGGCTCATGCCTTTAATCCCAGAACATGCACGTGGCACACAGACATACACGTAGACAAAACACCCATATATAAATATAAATGTATAATTTAGGGTTTTGTTGTTGTTGTTGTTTGTTTTTTGAGACAGGGTTTCTCTGTGTAGCTCTGGCTGTCCTGGAATTTGCTCTGTAAATCAGGCTGGCCTCAAACTCACAGAGATCTGCCTGCCACTGCCTCCGGAGTGCTGGAATTAAAGGGGGCGCCACCACCCAGGTTATGGGTTCAGCACGGCATTTTCATACACATTTCAGGATACATTGTTTTCACTCACTGCCTTCTCTATGTCCTCAGAGCACTTCTATCTGGTGCCCTTGTTTCCTAGTCAATAGGATCCCTTATCTAATAAAAGCACCATCTGTACAAATGAGAAAACTGAAAGGTGGTATGTGTCCTGGTAAATGTCCCAGTCACGATTTTAAAACAATGTAAATGACTTCCAGAAAAGGTGAATTCCCTAGCTCACCCACTGTCTTCCTCTTTTGAAACAAGGCTTTACTACATGGCCCAGGATAGTCCTGAACTCACACTCCTTCTGCCTCAGTTTCCCTGGTGTGGGATCACAGGAGTACACCACCATACCCAGCTCTCTTTTGACTCAGGTTTTTGTTTTATAAGTACACTCTCCCAAATGCATCCATTTCTCTACTGAAACAGTCTACATGAACCTGATAGTGTTATTTAAAATAACTATATAGGTATTCCCTAACAAAGCAGTCACAAGGAAAAAGGCAGGAAACTCTGCATAAATATGTATCTTTTGCTGGATGTATCTACGCACTTGAGGCAGAGGCAAGAGAATCTGGAGTTCAAGGCCAGTGTATGCTACATGAGACCCCGTGGATAAAAAAAAAACAGTAACAACAAACAAAAACCCCTCCAGGTATATTGTATTATCCCACCATTCATGAAGCTGAAGGAGGAAGATTACTTCAAATTCCAAGTCAGCAAATATAGTACATTTCAGACTGGCCTTTGCTAGAGTGAGACCTCAAAAATAAAAGAGCTGCCCCCCATTGACTACAAGGTCCATCCAGCACAATTGGAAATTAAGAGTATACTGTACCTCAGCCATCTCTGGGGACTTAATCTCCTTGATCTTAAAGAAATAGCCCAGGGTGAGGAAGGCGATGGCCATGGCGCTAACACTGATCATGAAAACCACCAAGGGTGGCCGGCTGCTGATGTAGAGCTTCAGGTTCTCCAGGGGGTTAATGCTGAACATGCTTCTGATCAGCTGCAACCTGGAACAGAGTCAGCACATGATTAATGGCCTGTCTGCAAGTGAGCTGTTGCACTTACATTAGTTTCTTATAATAGTAATGTGGGACAAAAGGCTGAATCTGAGAAATGTCCACTCAATGAATTCATTTAGAAGACTACAAGGATCCAGGCATGGTGGTGCATACCTCAGCTACTAGCAAAGCCAGCCTGAAATATATGAGACACTGTATTAAAAGAAAAAAAAAATTGTGGAGGAGAAAGGTAGAGCTGTTAGCTCAGTTGGTAGAGTGCTCACCTGGCATACACAAAGCACTGGGTCCCAAGACCAGCACTGCAGAAAATAGGCATGGTGGCATACATCTCTTAGACCAGCACTTGAGAGATAGAGGCAAAAAGGATCATGAGTTCAAGTTTATCCTTGGCCACATAGAACCAGACTGGGCTACAGGACACTTTTACCCACATAGTACATCAGTATTATGTACTTCATAGTTCATGCAAATTTGAGTCCTTTATGTACCAATCTGCCTTGTAAAGGTAAGCAAATGCTCTAGCACTGAGCTACAGCCCTAACCTTCAATGCTCTTGGTTCTAGATGTTTTTCTCAAATGTCTTAAATTCTAACTAAGCTGTCTGTGACCTCTCTTGGATGTCAGATAGATAATTACACTGTTGAAGAACAAGAGCTTTAGTAATATTTCTTTTCAAATCCTTTTATCTTTTTCTTTTTTGTAACTACTTAAGTGAAATATCAATAGCAGTAGCTGTAATAAAATTCTTGCCTCACTTGGACTTTAGCAAAAATGCTTTGTAATGCTTCACTATTAAATCTGGGACACAACATCGGCTTCAGATGTGAAGCTGTGTTTGCTAGTTTTATGTCAACTTGACACAAGCTAAAGTCCTTTAAAAGAGAGAGCCTCAACTGGGAAATGTTCCCTGTTAGATTGGCCAGTGAGCAAACCTGTGGTGAATTTTCTTGATTGATGACAGATGAAACTCACTATGGGTGGTGCCATCCCTGGGCTGGTGGTCCTGGGCTTTACGAAAAAAGCAGGCTAAGCAAGCTATGAAGAGTGAGCCAGAAAGCAGCATCCCTCCATGGCCTCTGCATCAGCTCCTGCTTCCAGGTTTTTGCTGTGTTTGAGGCCCTGCCCTGACTTCTCCAAGCAATGGAGTATAACCTGAGAGTAATAAATAAACTCTTTCATCCCCAAGTTGCTTTTTGCCATGGTTTTTATCACAGAAACAGAAGCCCTAACTACAACAGAAGATTTCTCTAAGGTAAGGAAATACTTAATCTTAAGTTTACAAAAAGATTTTCAATACGTTATTTCTTTTTTTATGGGAAAAGGCTGAGACAGGGTCTCCTGTCTTCCAAACTGGCCTTGAACCCTGAGCTTCCTGCCTCTACCTCCCTAGTGTGGGATTACAGACATATACTATGTCTGGCTTTCCCCCGCACCCCTTCTCGGGTATTTAACCCAAGTTCTCTTGCTTGCTATGTATCTACTGAATTTTCAGCCAAACACTACATTTCAATGAATGCCTCACCTACAATGTCTAAACCATCAATCTTTGCCTTTTAATCTGTTGATTAATCTTTATCAAGCTGATTTCACTGTTTGAATAATCTTGGTATGACTGAAAATTGAAGAACTTTGTTTTGGTGTTGGGGGGGTTGAACTGTCGAAACTCATAAGATGGCTCTACTCCATCTTGACTCAAGGGCAGTTCAAAACTGTCCTCAGTAAGTCATAAGACCTAAAGGTCAAAGGCCTAGCTACAGTAGGATGTTCGATCTTGGCTTTGGCTGTCTTAAATAACAGACCTGGTCTGAGGTGTGGTTACTCCTGACCCTCAAGGCCAGGTAATGAGAAGTTGCATCTAAGGTGTGGTTACTGAATCCTTGGAGGAATGAGGAAGAAAAAGTCTGTCTGTTCCATATACATGATACCACGTTCCCCAGTTTGGTTAAGATATATAAGAGTGGTGAAAAATTCGTGGCATTTCAGTATTGACTGAGTTGCCCTCCTGCTTTTATTCTGTGTCTCTGTCTTGTATCTTAACCCCTTTAGCAGCCTCGGGCTGCTCAGCTGGCTCCAACTGCAGCCCTGCAAAGACAGCTTCCCACAGTGAACACAGTCTTACTAATGTTGAACACATGCTAGATCACAGATCAGGATTTTTAGAAACTACTCTGCTTTCAGGTTTTCTATGTATTCATAAATAAGAAAAACCTTCCATGTGCATAATTTTTTATTTTATGACTACTACTATTATTATTATTGAAACAAGGTCTTCTATGTAGGCTGGATGGCCTGAAACTTGCTGTTATACATATCAGGCTGGCTCCAGACTCACAAAAATCTCCTGCCTCCTCTGCTTCCCAAGTACTTGGCTAAAGGCCTGTGCTACCAGGAATAAGATGCACTTCTGCTTCTTAGAAATTTGACTGAGTCAACCAAGTATTTGTTTTCTATTTTGATGAGGCTATCTGTTTTTTACTTCTGATGAGTCAATCATGATTTTTTTTACAGATTATGGGGGGGGGTGTAGTGCACACCTTTAATCCCAACACTGGAGAGGCAAGCAGATCTTTGTGAGTTTGAAGACCAGCCCAGTCTACAACTACAAGAGCTAGTTCAGGGCTACACAGAGAAACCATGTCTCGGAAAAACTAAAAAGATTATTTAGGAAACTATCCATTTTATATTGATTTTTAAAACTTTGTAGCATAGTTATTTTGATTTCTTCAATTGTTTATCTACCTGTATTGGAGACATATCTTTGTATGCATGTGTGAGTGTGTCACCCATGTACAGGTGGAGGCTAGAAAAGGGCACCATCGCATCCCCTAGAGATAGAGTTATAAGTGGCTGTTGGATCCCCGAGAGCTAGAGTCATAGGTGGCTGTCAGCCTCCTCTCATGGCTGCTGGGACTCAAGTCCTCTGCAAGAGTAGCAGGCACTCGAATCACTGAGGCATCTCTCCAGCTCTACATTTGTAGTTTGTTGTAGTTGTTTTGTAACCCAAGGAGGACATTATGCTTCTGACCCTCCTGCCCCCGCCTCCCACACGCCGGTATTACAGGTATGCATCACTACACCTGATCTTGGTAGTGCTGAGGATTGAACCCAGGGCAGGATTGAACCCAGGGCAGTGCAAGGGATACACCCTCAAGGCTTTCCAGAGCAGGTAAGTAATCTTAGCTGTCTCCGACTTGGAATATCTAGAACACCAAATGTATGACTAGAAATGAGGAAGGATGGGAATGGTTGACCAACCAGTAGTAAGCTACACTTAAACAGAAGCAAGAAGTTCTGGTGTTCTGTTTTACTGTAGAGCCATCCTCAATTGGAATTACAGATTATGCTTGCTCAGATGTGTGTATTAAGAGGAAGAGAATACTAAATACGAGAGGAAAGAAGAGTCAAAAAGAAGCATGAAGTAGTAAGATGAGGCACTCCTGAACACATTTAGACAAAGGCAGACTGAAGCCAGAGTCTGCCTGGGAAAATACAAGCTCCAGTGCTGTGACATGGCTTCCGTTTAATTCCCTGACCGTTAAACTGACACCTGGAACAGAGAACTGGAGCTGCAAGTCTGACCTTATGCGGAAATCATGCCTTGATTTGCTGTATTAAACTATGAGGACAGATAAGAACTGACCTCATTTACTAGCTTTGCCACACAGGCTACCTCTACTCTGTTTTTGAACAAGACCTGGTGGCACACACCTATGACCCCAACACTTATGAGGCTAAGACAGGAGGATCACAACTTCAGGCTACACTGAGAGCTTGAGGCTAGCCTGAAATACACAATACAATTGCTTTTTGTTTGTTTGTGTGGTTTTGTTTTAGCCAGTCTAAGACAAGAAAATCAGGACTCCAAGGTCAGTCTCGGCTGCATGAGTTTGAGCTATTTGGGGTTTCATGAGACCCCCAGCTCCAGTATTCTGAAGATTAAAATCAAAACAATACCACTATTACCCTGTCAAGCCTGGGAGGGTGGCACACACCGTATCTCAGAACTAGTGAATCTGAGACAGGAAGATCAGAGGTTGAAGGTGAGTCTTGGCTACATAGGAAATCCAAGCCATTCCGGGCAGTATGAAACCCTGTCTCAAACACACCTAAGATTACAACCCACAGAATTTCAGTACTCCGTTTTGGGCTTGTGTAGATGGGTGGCTCCCTCTCCACCCGAAGAATAGTATCACCTACACTCAAAGGGGGAAGTGGGGTTACTAAACCAAAACACACACACACACACACACACACACACACACACACAAATGGAGGTTGGCGAGAAGGTTCCGGGGGTTAAGAACACCTGTTATTCCACAGGACCACAGTGAGGTTCTCAAAACCCACATCACCAAGCAGCTAACAATGGCCTGTAACTCTAGTTCTAGGAATACAACGCCCTCTTCTGAATTCTGTGGGTACTTGCACTCACGTGCACAAAGAGACACAAACACAACGCTGTTAAATTTTCCATTTTTCCCCCTACAAACTGCAAAGA